ACAACACATGTTTCGGTACACATAACACATTTATTCACCCTTGGGTGAATTATTCTTTATAAGAAACTGAAAAAAATAAGTATAAATATAACTCACGCGCATCTGGCCGTACAACTGTTGCTGTAGGTTTTATCATTGACTCCACACACTGGTCGGTATTCTCTTGTACAGATGCAATCATACTTACAGGGACATTTTCTCCTGCATGCCACGCTAACACCTCTGTGGAATGAGATAAATATACAGATACTTTTTATATGCTCATTGCACATGTATTGTATGACTTTATCAATCTTTTGTTGTAATCATATGCCTATGAACGCAATCACTTACTGAGATGCTTCTTAATAAAATTAATTAATGTTAGTTGCAAGCATTGTGGTATAAACACGTTATTCTGTGGAGCTACATGTAGCTTATACATATACAATAAATGGTCTTGTACACAAAAGCTTAAGATCCTCAAACTCATACATATGTGTAAAACCTTTTAATTTTCCAAATTAACTAAATAGAACTCACAAGCTATTATTGGTTTATTGAAAGATTTACGTCGTCACGAAAACTGAGGTCATAAGAAGACGATGTCTACCGGCGTTGGCGCCATTCATAAAGAAACGTTTAAGGTATCGGCGAAATGAAATCGCATTATATTTTTGATCGGATAGTTGTGAGGGCAGGAGTCTCTTCGAACTTTTGAAATGATTAACAATACATTACTCGTCCGACACTTTAGCCTAATTCGTGTTATAAGTTTAAGATTTATAAGTTAGTTGGACGCAAGCTGATTTTATTGACGAATTTCCTTTGTTTTATAATGTGGTAAACAGATGTTTTCATAGTAATGGCTGACCTTCTAACTTATTGTATATATACATATTTACGTCTTGTTGTGACACTTCTTTAATAGATTATGATGATATGAAATAGTTTACCTTTAGTATAGTACAAAGTGAATGTCAAGCATGGTATCATCCACTTTCTCCGACATGAAAGGATACATGAATCATGTATTATTACTCAGTGTGATTAAATTTCATATTCAATATGTGAAAACATAGTGATACGATATCAGCTAGATATGATAAATGATGGTACTGTTTATTTTTCAATACATTTTACCTTCGCCTTGCCACACATTCATTGGTGTAGGTTTTCCCGTTGATACCACACACAGGTTTGCGGTAACATCTCCGTATTCCTGTAAAATGTAACACCATCTTACTGATTATACATTTATGTATTCCTGTAAAATGTAACACCATCTTACTGATTACTCATTTCCGTATTTCTGTAAAATGTAACACCCTCTTACTGATTACACATTTCCGTATTATTGTTAAACGTACATGTACATGTATTCCCGTCGTATAGATTAAACAACACAATTCAATATTTCAGTTAAATGTGACACCATCTTACTGATTACACATTTCCGTATTATTGTTAAACGTACATGTACATGTATTCCCGTCGTATAGATTAAACAACACAATTCAATATTTCAGTTAAATGTGACACCATCTTACTTATTACACATTTCCGTATTCCTGTAAAATGTAACACCATCTTGCTGATTACACATTTCCGTATTCCCGTAAAATGTAACACCATCTTACTTATTACTCAATTCCGTATTTCTGTAAAATGTAACACCCTCTTACTGATTACACATTTCCGTATTTTTGTAAAAAGTAACACCATCTTACTGATTACACATTTCCGCATTCCTGTAAAATGTAACACCATCTTTCTGATTACACATTTCCGTATTTCTGTAAAATGTAACACCCTCTTACTGATTACACATTTCCGTATTTTTGTAAAAAGTAACACAATCTTACTGATTACACATTTCCGTATTATTGTTAAACGTACATGTACATGTATTAACGTCGTATAGATTAAACAACACAATTCAATATTTCAGTTAAATGTGACACCATCTTACTTATTACACATTTCCGTATTCCTGTAAAATGTAACACAATCTTACTGATTACACATTTCCGCATTCCTGTAAAATGTAACACCATCTTGCTGATTACACATTTCCGTATTCCCGTAAAATGTAACACCATCTTACTTATTACTCAATTCCGTATTTCTGTAAAATGTAACACCCTCTTACTGATTACACATTTCCGTATTCCTGTAAAATGTAACTTCATCTTACTGATTACACATTTCCGTATTCCTGTAAAGTGTAACACCATCTTACTGATTACTCATTTCCGTATTTCTGTGAAATGTAACACCATCTTACTGATTACACATTTCCGTATTCCTGTAAGATGTAACACCATCTTACTGATTACACATTTCCGTATTTTACTAAAATGTAACTTCATCTTACTGATTACACATTTCCGTATTTATGTAAAATGTGACACCATCTTACTGATTACACATATCCGTATTTCTGTAAAATGTAACACCATCTTACTGATTACACATTTCCGTATTCCTGTAAAATGTAACACCATCTTACTGATTACACATTTCCGCATTTTTGTAAAATGTAACTTCATCTTACTGATTACACATTTCCGTATTTCTGTAAAATGTAACACCATCTTACTGATTACACATTTCCGTATTCTTGTAACATGTAACACCATCTTACTGATTACACATTTCCGTATTCCTGTAAAGTGTAACACAATCTTACTGATTACACATTTCCGTATTCCTGTAAAGTGTAACACCATCTTACTGATTACACATTTCCGTATTATTGTTAAACGTACATGTACATGTATTACCGTCGTATAGATTAAACATCACAATTCAATATTTCAGTTAAATGTGACACCATCTTACTGATTACACATTTCCGTATTCCTGTAAAATGTTACACCATCTTACTGATTACACATTTCCGTATTCTTGTTAAACGTACATGTATTACCGTCGTATAGATTAAACAACACAATTAAATATTACACTTAAATGTGACACTTTCTTACTAATTAAACAACATACTTCTTATCATAAAACGGTTTTTAGGGATTTTGTTTTATTTGTATCGAATGAAACGAAACATTTATTTTGTTAACAGTAATGTATCGATAAACAAGAAAACAATCAAAGTAAGGTAACATAATGATTACACTGTATTACTTACGTTTTGACTGGACCTGGTAAATCTGTAAATAACAAGACAGTATCACAAGTGCTGCTAGTAAAATGTTCATCTTGTTTCGTTAACAGAACAATGTTGTCATCAAATTTCATTATATACATGAACTTTGTCACGTGAGCATCCTACAAACATTGTTGTATTGAACCACAAGGGTAATTTATTCACTAACGTCTGTTTATTTCATGTTCACATGGTCATAAACATTTCTTGACATTTACATTCAAATAGACCAGTGAGGATCTAAGGCTATTGACAATGTGTCACTGCTGACATCATTACCGATACGTCATGATTAAGACGGAATTAGTTGTGTGTGTTCACTTTAAAAACGACTTTGAAATAGATTCTCGCACTTATCAAATGTCAAATTTCTTGGAATGTTTTAAATGTAGAAATATAATAGCAAGATGCAGCTAATCACACTGATTTTAACTTACGTAAAGGGTAGTTGTCATTTGTGCCTCATTGTATGAAACAAATAGCAGTTTACAAAGGGTTAAACGTGACACCATTTAAACATATTTTATGGTTTTGACTTGCATAGAGATAAGATGTAGGTGTTGTTGTAATAAAAAGTGACAACTATTTTTGTTTTATAAAGGTATCATGTTGCCGGAGACTGCAGGAGAGCGTTGATTTAAATATCGTTTATACATTGGCAAAACATTTGATCATCCATTATAGATTATTTTACAGGTGTGAGTTTGCGGATGGCAAGGAATTTCCACTCGATGAATGTATTTTGTAATCATAGTTTTGTCGTCGAATGACCCCCACCGTGTAAGATATAGGTACATATACATCTAACACACCAATGTGCCCCCCGTTACCCTGGTCTGCTTATTAGAGGACAATGTGAACCTGTTTTAAATTGAACATATGTTCATGATGTCATAAGTTGTTTGTCTTGTTTTCATCCATATAACAGCTAAAACATTCGGAGTATACATCATTGTTCCTGTTTTTGTAATTAATTGTTTACACGCATACTGTCCATTTATTATCATGAAAGACTGTTTGGGCGTTTGATATATTGTTTTACTCATACGTTGGAAATTAATCCCGCAGGCTACAAATGCATCAATTAAAACTAAATGATAGATCGGTCATTGCATTCGTATGCAAATAACGGCAAGTGATATTGTTCCAATAGTGTATTTGCTATCAAATAATGTAATATCTGTTTACTCTACATTTCAGGTTTTATTGCGAAAAAGAAGCATGGCAATTAAGAAAGTAGCACAGTGTATACATGTATATTATTAAAAGGATCATAAGGTATATCAAGGATCCCTGTTTCACTGCATTGTCGCTTTTCCTAAATACAGAAACCTCCCCTTAACTTCCGTCTGGAAACATCTGTAGCATATTTGGGCAAATACATTTCCGTTTACCAGATGAAAGTGAACTCAATCGGTTACAGCAATACTATATGTATAATAACCTGAAGCCAAGGGTTCGAATACCGGTCTAGCCCAGCCAAATGTTTTATGCTCAGAACACTCTTGTTGATTATATGTTGCTAATACATTATTAATACATTTATCATTTTTCATAAAAATACCGCAAGGTATAGTTTTATTTTCAGTAGTGGTTTATTAAGGCTATAGTTATGCCAAAAAAACAGTTTCTAATACTCAGTTACAGTGTTTGGGGATCCTAAAGAAATGAAAACATGTTGATGTTGCTGATGAGATTAACCTCTCTTAACTCTACCTTAACGGGTACCCCTTGTAAAATTCTGATTATAAATTCGTAAATTTTCAAATTCATTTAAAGATTAGAATATAACAAAACACTCTCGCAATAACACTTTACGCTTTATATATGTCAGTTTTATGAAATTCATCTACGATAGGCCTAATATTGCTTCAATTTTATAAAAAAAAATCGTACATAAAAAAGTTCTTATTTCAGTACAATATAACACAATTAAACCAAGAAAAGGTTAAGAATAGAGGAAAACCAATTACGATGAAAATACAGAAATGTAAATAAAACCGTTATTGGACATCCAAACCGATGAAAAGAGAGCAAAACATTAGCAATAGGAGACCTTACAAGAAGACCATTGAAAGATGAACATAGATAATATAACAGGTGTTCGAGAAGGATAGGCGTTATCTATCTGATCGACGACATCTTCCGCATAAATCTTGATCAATTAATGACATGTCCTCAGAGAGGGAGTCGGTACAACGTAAACAAAACCAAAAGACGCACTTAATTGAAAACATGCAGGAGGTGAGGTGTGATCCCGGACGTCGGAGTAGCATGAACTAATCAGAGGAATCCCTTTTCCTGTCTACTCAACTCATCAAATCAAGGTGCAATGTAACATTATTTGGGGCGGTGTAGCAGTGTCTGTGATGCACCAATAGGATGAGGTGGCAGTTTGAAATAAGTTGCTGTTGGAAGCACGGTTCCGGAAGGAAATAGAACAAAATACATCGCCAGCACACAAACATTCATTCACACAGATGAATGTTTTGTAAATGACTTATTTCCAAGTTGTTGGACTAGGAGAGTACCTGGTTCAAGTGATAAACTCTGGAATAGAAAGCCATTCAGATAGGCCGCAACGAATCGACTTGTTAATTCGTGCATTAATAACACTTAAGTAAACTGACGCTTGCAGCGTACCAGAATAAACTGAATGTATTGTCATTATCTCATACAGGGTACATATTTGGATTTTTAGTAGTACATATGCTGTACTAGTCATCGTCTGATGAAAGTGAGAGAGTACATATAACACTTTTCATTGGAATCTCACACATAAACATGTCACTGGTTGTGCCATATAGACCTGCTTGCAAATTCTAAACTTGAATATCAACTTTATCTATTTAACAACAATTATGAAACAAGCTATGTTAACGTATATCAATCACTCTTGTTGGCCCCGGTGTCAGCGCGCTGATGGTCTTAGTGTGGGAGGAAACCGGAGTACATTTTCACGTCCGATCGGGGAATCAAACCCGGCCTCCTTAGTGATAGACAAGTGCATTGTCCACTGCACCACATGACCACCCAAATTGCCAATTATATTTACCAAACTGAAGGAAATGTCCAAATATCGTATAGATTATATGACTTGTTTATCTTTATGAAGCCTTTTAAAGTGGCTTGATCTGCCTAGATCGGGCGCTAAATCGAACATTGTTTATTCATTAGCGGCTCCAAAAGTATGTCAGCGAGGTCAGCGAGATACGACTGTCATAGGTTACCATAGCAGGCGGAGATTTTGAAAACTATATTCCCAAGAATAGCCTAATGTGTACCTATACCTGTACCTGTTTATTTTTTTTAATACTTTTCTCAATTATCAGTAACGTCATTTCAAGCATGTAAATATATTAATGTTATGTCCTATCTACGCATATCATAAACAGGTTCCATTTGATGAAGATAAACGAGTCATTGAAACGATAGGATTGAACATCTGATTAATTGGTATCAACAATTCATCATTTTGGCGTCGGAAATAATTGTCAAAGATCTTAAACGCAAATTTAATAGCATAAATAGCACTTTATTAACATCTTGATCAGCTTTGTTCATCAAGAAAAATGAATGAATTAATTCAATCAAATGCTTTATTTTTCCTTGTTAAGATAAATTTTGATTAAATATGGCACATTAGGTCGCATATCAAAACTCTATATATGTATGCTAGTGAAATATTTAAATCTGAAACACTTCAACCTGTTTTCCTGACACCTGTCTGTTATATATTTGTATTCTGTTCCTTAGATCGTTGCTGAAGAATTCCTGTTAGGGAGATTTAATGACTTAGTCTGCATGCTTAATTTGTCAAGTAATGAGTGACACAGTCGTAAATTTTAGTCAAGCAGCCCCCCTCTCCGGAACTTCGTGGCTAGATAGGTAGGGAGTTGTATATGACCACTGTCGATGCGACCATACTGTTGTCTTCTATCCGAAATCGGATTACTTTCCAATAACAAAGCAAGGACACCTCCAAGGACATTGTACTCTAACACCCCTGGAAAATATTTTGAAGAAATTGTTTCCATAATCTGCGCCTTTAAGAAGACATATACATCATAAGTTAAATAACACAAAGTATATAGTCTGTCTACTCAGCTGTAAATGAGTACGTGGTTGGGCAGTGCTAGAATTGTTGAATGTGCTCCCCATGGAGTTGAGAAAGATATTGGCAGGTTGCAAAGGCTCTATTACCACGAACAATAATTTGTGAACCGCTTTGAGAGACCTACGAACTAGGTTGTGATAAAGCGGTATATAAGAACCTCGAATTATTATTATTATTATAGCAGAGTTACATATAATACAGATATTAAGTGAAAAGATATTTAACAATTTTATGACACAAACGGATTCGTGTTACGCTGGAGAATATCTAATTACTTATCCCCATATGAATCGTTTCGTTGTTCATGTTTCATTGAGTTCAACAGTAATGTGCACATCTCTTTCTCGTGTTTATATATAAGACTAAATATATCGTATACATGTATTTTGTTCAATTTTAATTAAAAATATCAAACCTTTTTATCATGTATTTGTTTTTTAAAAGACCAACAAAAGGTCACTTACGCGCATCTAGCCTTGCAACTGTTGCTGTAGGTTTGACCATTTTCTCCACACACAGGTTGGTATTCCTCGGTACAGATACAGTCAGACCTACACGGACACCTTCTTCGGCATGCTATGGTGGTGCCTCTGTGAAATGAGACAGAACCACAGATAAAGCATAGTGATTATGTCAAATGTGTCTAGTAAGCTGCATAAACTATCCAATAAGTTTGGCCAACTTCAAAAACGTTTCCCATCTGTCCAATAAGTTACCAACACGCTTATAAGAGCTTTACTTATTGGACAGTGGGGGCATCACATTCTAGATAATAGATGATCAGAGCCCGAATGGGAGCAATTCAGCTATATATTTATAACAAATACAAAAAACACGTGAATTGTTTAATATAATATCAAACATCACCAGTATCAGTGGTGTACTGTTTTTAGAATCCAGCACATTCACAATCAACATACATTTAAGGCCTCGCCATGTCTTTCCTCTCTATTGGACAGTTTTTGGCTTACATCCATAGCATATTTTACATTCCCATAGCACTACCCATTGCATGTATGTATCAATATAATGTGACAGGGTCAGAAACTGTGCTGTGTACCTTTGCCCTGGTTGGCGACATCAGATAGGTGTTATCGCAAGGAGGCATATAATATGTCACCTCCAACACACAATCATACATCCACATAGAAAACACGACCATAAATGACCAAAGCTGTTATAACTTAATAGGACGCTGACCTCTATAAACCTTACCCCTAGCACTTACTGTTTCATAAAGATCTCGTCGTTTTATTGTAATCATATGACTTTCGATGTCATGTAAAGAATTCCAGACGTAAGTGATATTTGCATTGTTAGTCGTCAATACGTTGACGACTACTTTTCAATATCGAAGAGTGGTTGAACTTTTTCAGAAAAAGAAACATTGATAGTATGCTAACTTATAACCATATGCATGCTTATATAAAAAAAAACATTGAACGTTATTTGATTTGATAAGAAGTTGAATACTCTATGGAGTGCATAAGCAAAGCTTTAAAGCAAAATGGAAAATATTTTGGAGAAATTGATTCCATAACCTGCGCCTTTAAGAAGACATATTCATGATTAGTTAAATAACACAAAGAATATGGCAGAGTAAAATATGATATGGATATTTAGTGAAAAGATATTCAACAACTTTACGACACAAATGGATTTTTACACTGAAAGGTATCCAATCAATTATCCCCATATGAATCGTTTCGTTGTTCTTGTTTTACCCTAGTTTCTTTGCGTTCAACGGTAGTGTGCACATGTTGTTCTTGTGTTTATGTATAACATTAAATATATCGTATACATGTATTTTGTTCATTTAAATTAATGATATCAAAACTTTTTGACATGCAAATCATCTATTTTTTAAATACCAATAAAAGGTAACTCACGCGCATCTGGCCATGCAACTGTTGCTGTAGGTTTGACCATTTCCTCCACACACAGGTTGGTATTCCGCGGTACAGATACAGTCTGACCTACAAGGACACCTTCTTCGGCATGCTATGGTGATGCCTCTGTGAAATGAGACAGAACCACAGATAAAGCATAGTGATTATGTCAAATGTGTCCAGTAAGCTGCATGGACTGTTTAATAAGTTTGGCCAACTTCAAAACGTTTCCCATCTGTCCAATAAGCTACCAACCTGTCTTATAAGAGCTTTACTTATTGGACAGTGGGGGCATCACATTCTAGATAATAGATGATCAGGGCCCGAATGGGAGCAATTCAGCGATATAGCTATAACAAAAACAACAAACACATGAATTGTGTAATATATTATTAAACATCACCAGTATCAGTGGTGTACTATTCTTAGAATTCAGCACATTAAAAATCAACATCTAAGGCCTCGCCATGTCCTTTCTCTCACTTATTGGACAGTTTTTGGCTTACATCCATAGCATATTTTACACTCCCATAGCACTACCCATTGCATGCATCAATATATTGTGACAGTGTCAGAAACTGTGCTGGGTGCCTTTGTCTTGGATTTCAGTGAAGTAGCACTTTTGTATGGCGACATCAGATAGGTGTTATCGCAAAAAGGCATATAAAGACATACATATGTCACCTCCAACACACAACCATACATTCCACATAGGGAAGCACGACCATAAATTACCTTAGCTGTTATAAATTAATAGGACGCTGACCTCTATAAACCGTACCCTTAGCACTTACTGTTTCATAAAGCTCTCGTAGTTTTATTGTAACCATATGACTTTCGATGTTATGTTAAGAATTCCAGACGTAAGAAACAAATTACAGTGACGTTTGCCTTGTTAGTCGTCAATACGTTGACGTCTACTTTTCGATATCGGTGATTGCTTGATCTTTTTTCGGAAAAGATACATTGATTGTATGCTAACTTAAAACCATATACATGCTAATAAATAAAATCATTCAACCTTATTTGATTTCATAACAAGTTGAATACTCTACGCGTTAGCAAAGTTTTAAAGCAAAATATATTTCCGTTCATATTAATAAAATAGCAAACCATGAAAGCAGGCGAAGGTAAATTAGCCTCATGTTATAAAACTGTAGTTACAATAGAATACTCGCAAAACACATTATCCTGAAATAGATTATTATTCAGGAAGTATTTATTCAGTTTAATAATATCAATTAGATGAATACAAGAGCATTTAATTGAAGAGCTTTCTTTGTATAAGTTTGTTTTGTATTATACATATCTAAGTAAACCATTTCACTGAAGTGGCCGATCTTCTCATTACTAATACTCATACACATCATATTATGACATGGGATAGATGTATGAAGACAATATAACATGACAAAACAGATTAGTTTCGTAGCATAGTCAACTTTATACGACAATTTAATTGCTTTATTTTGCAATGGCGTTTAAGTATATTATCAATATATGACAACCTTATGTTCAGATAGGTAAATTATACTTGTTTTTGCTTCACTAGTTTTACCTTCGTCTAGCCACACATTCATTCCTGTACGTCCTCCCGTTGATACCACACACAGGCTGCCCTCCGTAACATGATCCGTCTGTTAAATGGAAGACCACCTTACAGATCAAACAACACACAAATGCATATGATAATACATTTTTGCAGATATTTATTTCTATCGAATAATTAATATAACAAAACAAATGATAAAAATATACTTCGGTAACAGGGAAATATCCTTCGACGGATCAGAGGATGATTTAAACTGTATTACTTACATTGTGACTGGACCTGGTTAATCTGTAAATAACAAGACAGTATCACAAGAGCTGCTAGTGAAATGTTCATCGTGTTTCGTTCATAGTACAGTATTGTAAACACAAAGCCTTATATACATGGATTTCATCACGTGGTCATTAATGTCATTATTTGAAATAATACACGTAATTAAACTGACAGTAGTATAGAGTTGGTTCTACGGCAGTTTGTATGTGTCATTGCTGGCGTCAATACCGATACATCATTATGTAAGACTGGTCAATTGCAATATTTCTTCACGTATGTTAAATGTCAATTCAGGCTGGAACAGTGCTTAGGAGGTTTTTTAACGTAGCTTTATCATATCAAGATGCACCTAGTCACACCGATTAGCATTTGAGACCAGGCTTACTGTCATTGTTGTTCCGCCTATTGGCTAAATGACGAGTAACAGGTTAAACACGACGTCCTTTATATCTGATTTTATCAGGAACGCCCCGTTTATGCGAGATGATATTTGTCTCATTATAACAAGAAGTGTACGTAAATAACATATCTACACATGTTTGTTACATAAAGACAATGCTATTACGTATTTGAACTTATGGAGTATTGAGTTATTGTCTTTGAACAACCCGATCGTAAAATGCAATGTAAAACAGGGCGCCTTATGCGCCACTTGTCGATGTTATTTAAGACCTACACATTACAGCGCGCTTACATCCGGACCAGGAAGAGTGATTCATATAATTTGAAAAAAAAGTTGTTTCATTATTGTTTAACAATAGATTATGTAAGTAGCTAAATATCTATCTCTCAGAGTAGAATGCGTACGCCCTTAAAACTAAAAGTTATTTCAACAACACGAATATCTTTCTTGTGTTCGGTGGTGAGACTTTTTACTGCAGTTAGTATTACAAAGGAGTACACTTTGCCTCTCTCCATGCCGACTTGTTTTTCGATGAGGGTGAATTTAATAAAGAGCAGACTTGGTCTGGTAACAAAACTCTTCCAGCGTCCGTAAATTTCACTTTAAGATATTCAGTTGTGTGACCGCACAATGCACCAAATATAGTGTACGCACACCGTGCATGCATCGTTCACACACCGTCCGCACTTCGACCACACATGGTGCGCACAACTGTGCGATTTAACAATCGTTCGCCCCGCTGTGTGCTTCTCTCTGAACAACTGTGCGATTGGGTACAATTTGTAGATCAATATTACCTAATGAACAAAATACGGAAATGTCGTATGCAATAATGAAAACTTTATGTATTTCTGTAATTTTTCATGACAGTAATTAAGATTATGTACAGTTTTACAATGCGTGTAACACAGCATTACAGTGACCGTTAGACTATCAAGAATGGGTTTCGCTCCAAGGTACAGTAACAGAACAGGTAAATAACGATTTGATGAGTGAACGAAATGTTACCTGGCCTGTACCTGAAACACAGAGCTGATAGGCGATATCGTATGGCCGCAATGAAAATACAACTCGACGTTTAGTATTTGTTTTTTTGCATTCGGGTTGCCTATAGCTCCCCTTTACCTGGGTTTTCACACCCCTGGCACTACCCAACGAAATACGTAAGTGCCCCGGGCGGGGGAAAATTATGGTCCAGGTACAAAGTGGCTATGTTTACTCGTATACGGGACTGTGTTGTAATTTTACTTGTGTCGATTAAGGTCCTTTAAAAATACAGAAAACATTATTTCTAAATAATTTGCTACTATTGAAGAGTATATGAAGTTGGATAGCGAATCGGAGAGACAAGCCATCCTTGGGTGATACGAGTACTTAGATCGCAATACATACATAGACACATATTTTACATATTATAAATTAAACAGAGTACAGGTAGTTCATACCTTACACCTTCGGATCACCACTCACTAGTGTATACGATACATTGTGTTTATATCTAACACCTTCGGATCAACACTCACTAGTGTATACGATACATTGAGTTTATATCCAACACCTTCAGATCAACACTCACTAGTGTACGATACATTGTGTTTATATCTAACACCTTCAGATCAACACTCACTGGTGTACGATACATTATGTTTATATCTAACACCTTCAGATCAACACTCACCGGTGTACGATACATTATGTTTATATCTAACACCTTCGGATCAACACTCACTAGTGTATACGATCCATTGTGTTTATATCTAACATTTCTATATTAACACTCACTAGTGTATACGATTCGTGGTGTTTATATCTTACACTCTCAGACCAACACTCACTAGTGTATACGATTCGTGGTGATTATATCTTACGCTCTCAGAACAACACTCACTAGTGTATACGATTCGTGGTGTTTATATATTACCCTCTCAGAACAATCCGCGCTAGTGTATACGATTCGGGGTGTTTATATCTTACACTCTCAGAACAACACTCACTAGTGTATACGATTCGTGGTGTTTATATCTTACACTCTCAGAACAACACTCACTAGTGTATACGATTCGTGGTGATTATATCTTACACTCTCAGAACAACACTCACTAGTGTATACGATTCGTGGTGTTTATATCTTACACTCTCAGAACAACACTCAATCGTGTATACGATTCGTGGTTTTTATATCTTACACTCTCAGAACAACACTCACTAGTGTATACGATTCATGGTGTTTATATCTTACACTCTCAGAACAACACTCACTAGTGTATACGAATTGTGGTGTTTATATCTTACACTCTCTTAATAACACTCACTAGTGTATACGATTCGCTGTGTTTGTATCTTACACTCTCAGAACAACACTCACTAGTGTATACGATTCGTGGTGTTTATATTTTACCCTCTCAGAACAACACTCACTAGTGTATACGAATTGTGGGGTTTATATCTTACACTCTCTTAATAACACTCACTAGTGTATACGATTCGTGGGGTTTATATCTTACACACTCAGAACAACACTCACTAGTGTATACGATTCGTGGTGTTTATATTTTACCCTCTCAGAACAACACTCACTAGTGTATACGATACATTGTGTTTAATAACACTTAAGTAAACTGACGCTTGCAGCGTACCAGAATAAACTGAATATATTGTCATTATATCATACAGGGTACATATTTGGCTTTTTTGTAGTACATATGCTGTACTAGTCATCGTCTGATGAAAGTGAGAGAGTACATATAACACTTTTCATTGGAATGTCACAAATAAACAGGTCACTGGTTGTGCCATATAGACCTGCTTGTAAATTATACACTTGAATATAAACTTTATCTATTTTACAACAATTATGAAACAAGCTATTTCAACGTATATCAATCACTCTTGTTGGCCCCGGTGTCAGCGCGCTGATGGTCTTAGTGTGGGAGGAAACCGGAGTACATTTTCACGTCCGATCGGGGAATCAAACCCGGCCGCCTTAGTGATAGACAAGTGCACTGTCCACTGCACCACATGACCACCCAAATTGCCAATTATATTTACCAAACTGAAGGAAATGTCCAAATATCGTATAGATTATATGACTTGTTTATCTTTGTGAAGCCTTTTTAAAGTGGCTTGATCTGCCTAGATCGGGCGCTAAATCGAATATTGTTTATTCATTAGCGGCTCCAAAAGTATGTCAGCGAGGTCAGCGAGATACGACTGTCATAGGTTACCATAGCAGGCGGAGATTTTGAAAACTATATTCCCAAGAATAGCCTAATGGGTACCTATTCCTGTACCTGTTTATTTTTTTTAATACTTTTCTCAATTATCAGTAACGTCATTTCAAGCATGTAAATATATTAATGGTATGTCCTATCTACGCATATCATAAACAGGTTCCATTTGATGAAGATATACGAGTCATCGAAACGATAGGATTGAACATCTGATTAATTGGTATCAACAATTCATCATTTTGGCGTCGGAAATAATTGTCGAAGATCTTAAACGCAAATTTAATAGCATAAATAGCACTTTATTAACATCTTGACCAGCTTTGTTCATCATGAAAAACGAATGAAATAATTCAATCAAATGCTTTATTTTACCTTGTTAACATAGATTTTGATTAAATATGGCACATTAGGTCGCATATCAAAACTCTATATATGTACGCTAGTGAGATATTTAATTCTGAGACACTTCACCCTGTTTTCCTGACACCTGTCTGTTATATATTTGTATTCTGTTCCTTGGATCGTTGCTGAAGAATTCCTGTTAGGGAGATTTAATGACTTAGTCTGCATGCTTAATTTGTCAAGTAATGAGTGACACAGTCGTAAGTTTTAGTCCAGCAGCCTCCCTCTCCGGCACTTCGTGGCTAGATAGGTAGGGAGTTGTATATGGCCACTGTCGATGCGACCATACTGTTGTCTTCTATCCGAAATCGGATTACTTTCCAATAACAAAGCAAGGACACCTCCAAGGACATTGTACTCTAACACCCCTGGAAAATATTTTGAAGAATTTTTTTCCATATTCTGCGCCTTGAAGAAGACATATACATCATAAGTTAAATAACACAACGTACATAGTCTGTCTACTCAGCTGTAAATGAGTACGTGGTTGGGCAATGCTAGAATTGTTGAATGTGCTCCCCATGGAGTTGAGAAAGATATTGGCAGGCTGCAAAGGGCCTATAACCACGGACAATAATTTGTGAACCGCTTTGAGAGACCTACGAACTAGGTTGTGATAAAGCGGTATATAAGAACCTCGAATTATTATTATTATTATTATTATTATCATAGCAGAGTAACATATAATACAGATATTTTGTGAAAAGATATTTAACAATTTTATGACACAAACGGATTCCTGTTACCCTGGAGAATGTCTAATTACTTATCCCCATATGAATCGTTTCGTTGTTCATGTTTCATTGAGTTCAACGGTAATGTGCACATGTCTTTCTCGTGTTTATATATAAGACTTAATATATCGTATACATGTATTTTGTTCAATTTTAATTAAAAATATCAAACCTTTTTATCATGTAATTTTATTTTTTAAAAGACCAATAAAAGGTAACTCACGCGCATCTGGCCATGCACCTGTTGCTGTATGTTTGATCATTTCCTCCACACACAGGTCGGTATTCCCTGGTACAGTTACAGTCAGACCTACAAGGACACCTTCTTCGGCATGCTATGGTGATGCCTCTGTGAAATGAGACAGAACCACAGATAAAGCATAGTGATTATGTCAAATGTGTCCAGTAAGCTGCATGGACTGTCCAATACGTTTGGCCAACTTCAAAACGTTTCCCATCTGTCCAATAAGTTACCAACCTGTCGTATAAGAGCTTTACTTATTGGACAGTGGGGGCATCACATTCTAAACAATAGATGAGCAGAGCCCGAATGGGAGTAGTTCAGCGATATAGCTATAACAAAAACAACAAACACATGAATTGTGCAATATCATATCAAACATCACCAGTATCAGTGGTGTACTATTCTTAGAATCCAGCACATTCACAATCAACATTTAAGGCCTCGCTATGTCCTTTCTCTCACTTATTGGACAGTTTTTGGCTTACATCCATAGCATATTTTACATTCCCATAGCACTACCCATTGCATGTATCAATATAATGTGACAGTGTCAGAAACTGTGCTGGGTGCCTTTGCCTTGGATTTCAGTGAAGTAGTACTATAATGTCGACATCAGATAGGTGTTATCGCAAAAAGGCATATAAAGACATACATATGTCACCTCCAACACACAATCATACATTCCACATAGGGAAGCACGACCATAAATTACCTTAGCTGTTATAAATTAATAGGACGCTGACCTCTGAAAACCTTACCCCTAGCACTTACTGTTTCATAAAGCTCTCGTCGTTTTATTGTACATGTAACCATGTGACTTTCGATGTCATGTTAAGACTTCCAGACGTAAGAAACAAATTACAGTGACGTTTGCCTTGTTAGTCGTCAATACGTTGACGTCTACCTTTCGATATCGGTGATTGCTTGATCTTTTTTCGGAAAAGATACATTGATTGTATGCTAACTGAAAACCATATACATGCTAATAAATAAAATCATTGAACATTATTTGATTTCATAACAAGTTGAATACTCAACGCGTTAGCAAAGTTTTAAAGCAAAATACATTTCCGTTCATATTAATAAAATAGCAAACCATGAAAGCAGGCGAAGGTAAATTAACCTCATGTTATAAAACTGTAGTTACAATAGAATACTCGCAAGACACATTATCCTGAAATAGATTATTATTCAGGAAGTATTTATTCAGTTTAATAATATCAGTTAGATGAATACAAGAGCATTTAATTGAAGAGCTTTCTTTGTATAAGTTTGTTTTGTATTATACATATCTAAGTAAACCATTTCACTGAAGTGGCCGATCTTCTCATTACTAAGACTCATACACATCATATTATGACATGGGATCGATGTATGAAGACAATATAACATGACAAAACAGATTAGTTTCGTAGCATAGTCAACTTTATACGACAATTTAATTGCTTTATTTTGCAATGGCGTTTAAGTATATTATCAATATATGACAACCTTATGTTCAGATAGGTAAATTATACTTGTTTTTGCTTCGCCAGTTTTACCTTCGTCTAGCCACGCATTCATTCCTGTACGTCCTCCCGTTGATACCACAAACAGGCTGCCCTCCGTAACATGATCCGTCTGTTAAATGGAAGACCACCTTACAGATTAAACAACAGACAAATGCATATGATAATATATTTTAGCAGATATTTATTTCTATCGAATAATTAATATAACAAAACAAATGACAAAAATATACTTCGGTAACAGGGAAATATCCTTCGACAAATCAGAGGATGATTTAAACTGTATTACTTACATTGTGACTGGACCTGGTTAATCTGTAAATAACAAGACAGTATCACAAGAGCTGCTAGTGAAATGTTCATCGTGTTTCGTTCATAGTACAGTATTGTAAACACAAAGTCTTATATACATGAATTTCATCACGTGGTCATTAATGTCATTATTTGAAATAATACACGTAATTAAACTGACAGTAGTATAGAGTTGGTTCTACGGCAGTTTGTATGTGTCATTGCTGGCGTCAATACCGATACATCATTATGTAAGACTGGTCAATTGCAATATTTCTTCACGTATGTTAAATGTCAATTCAGGCTGGAACAGTGCTTAGGAGGTTTTTTAATGTAGTGTTATCATATCAAGATGCACCAAGTAACACCGATTAGCACTTGAGACCAGGCTTACTGTCATTGTTGTTCCGTCTATTAGCTAAATGACGAGGGACAGGTTAAACACGACGTCCTTTATATCTGATTTTATTAGAAACGCCCCGTTTTTGCGAATTGATATTTGTATCATTATAACAAGAAGTATACGTCCATTACATATCTACACATGTTTGTTACATCAAGACAATGATATTACGTATTTGAACTTTAGAGTATTGAATTATTGTCTTTGACCGACCCGATCGTAAAATTCAATGTAAAACAGGGCGCCTTATGCGCCACTAGTCGATGTTATTTAAGACCTACACATTACAGCGCGCTTACATCCGGACCAGGAAGAGTGATTCATATAATTTGGAAAAAAAGTTGTTTCATTATTGTTTAACAATAGATTATGTAAGTAGCTAAATATCTATCTCTCAGAGTAGAATGCGTACGCCCTTAAAACTAAACGTTATTTCAACAACACGAATATCTTTCTTGTGTTCGGTGGTGAGACTTTTTACTGCAGTTAGTATTACAAAGGAGTACACTTTGCCTCTCTCCACGCCGACTTGTTATTCGATGAGGGTGAATTTATTAAAGAGCAGACTTGGTCTGGTAACAAAACTCTTCCAGCGTCACGTTTAGATATTCAGTTGTGTGACCGCACAACGCACCAAAACTAGTGTGCGCACATCGTGCATACATCGTTCACACACTGTCCGCACTTCGACCACACATGGTGCGCACAACTGTGCGATTTAACAATCGTTCGCCCCGCTGTGTGCTTCTCTCTGAACAACTGTGAGATTGGGTACAATTTGTAGATCAATATTACCTAATGAACAAAATACGGAAATGTCGTATGCAATAATGAAAACTTTATGTATTTCTGTAATTTTTCATGACAGTAATTAAGATTATGTACAGTTTTACAATGCGTGTAACACAGCATTACAATGACCGTTAGACTGTCAAGAATGGGTTTGGCTCCAAGGTACAGTAACAGAACAGGTAAATAACGATTTGATGAGTGACCGAAATGTTACCTGGCCTGTACCTGAAACACAGAGCTGATAGGCGATATCGTACGGACGCAATAAAAATACAACTGGACGTTTAGTATTTGTTATTTGCATTCGGTTTGCCTATAGCTCCCTTTTACCTGGATTTTCACACCCCTGGCCCTACCCCGGGCGGGGGGAAATTATGGTCCAGGTACAAAGTGGCTATGTTTACTTGTATACGGGACTGTGTTGTAATTTTACTTGTGTCGATTAAGGTCCTTTAAAAATACCGAAAACATTATTTCTAAATAATTTGCTACTATTGAAGAGTATATGAAGTTGGATAGCGAATCCGAGTGACAAGCCATCCTTGGGTGATACGAGTACTTAGATCGCAATACATACATAGACACATATTTTACATATTATAAATTAAACAGAGTACAGGTAGTTCATTCCTTGCAACTTCGGATCCCCACTCACTAGTGTATACGATACATTGTGTTTATATCTAACACCTTCGGATCAACACTCACTAGTGTATACGATTCGCTGTGTTTATATCTTACATTCTCAGAACAATACTCGCTAGTGTATACGATTCGTGGTGTTTATATCTTACACTCTCAGAACAACACTCAATAGTGTATACGATTCGCTGTGTTTATATATTACACTCCCAGAACAACACTCACTAGTGTATACGATTCATGATGTTTATATCTTACACTCTCAGAACAACACTCACACGTGTATACGATTCGCTGTGTTTATATATTACACTCTCAGAACAACACTCACTAATGTATACGATTCGTGGTGTTTATATCTTGCCCTCTCAGACCAACACTCACTAGTGTATACGATTCGTGGTGTTTATATCTTACAATCTCAGACCAACACTCACTAGTGTATACGATTCGTGGTGTTTATATCTTCCATTCTCACACGAAACTCACTAGTGTATACGATTCGTGGTGTTTATATCATACACTCTCAGAACAACACTCACTAGTGTATACGTTTCGTGGTCGAAATTGTCTAAACTAATGTTTGAACAGAAGGACATAGTTGTAGCGTTCGTAGCCACAAACATTAAAACAATACAACTTCAATTTGATGTTTGTAATCTTTTAATTCCTGTGTTTTATTTATTCCGCAGTAATACTTTCTTGTGACGATTTCCTTGTACTTCAATGCATCTTTCTGATAAATTGTAAGTAATAACTACAGTATGTGTGTTGCACGTTAATAACGTGTGTATCGATGGTAGTCCTGTCAACCTATGTACAATGTGTTTCTAACATATGGTCAATAAGGTAATCAGTCTGGTTGTGCATAACCAAGCTGGCATTAAACCGTTTCACGATAATAAAGTACATTTATTTTGTAAAACTAGAATGAATCACACATATGAGTAATCCTGAACATTATTCATGCATAAATATGTCTATACTAATCAAATTTACATGGAAATTTAATTAGGATATAATCAATGCCTCCTCGTGTATTAATAATATTGGACAAAACTTGGTAATAACAAAATGTATTGTGGGTTGCACATGCACTTTATTATACAACTTTCTGCTAGAATCAATTTCGTGGATGTTTGTTGTTGTCACTAGCCAGCGGATGATAGATTATATAACATCTTGAATTAATCATTTGTATGGGACAGTTTACCACTCACTTATATCTTTACACAAGAAGCTCGTCAAGTATGACTCCATGATAAAACAGGGGGGGGGGGGTTTAAAAGGTTAAAACAAAATACCTGTTTCAGAGTTACATTACGAACCTGATTTTGTATTTTAAATGCATACATGTATAGGTAGGTAAATATTTAACACAGTCTATCGTTTATGCGTGTATCTAAACGATATATCATATTTACGTATATAAAGAGATGTTTTGTCAATCATATCGGTCCATGAGACTTTAACAAAAATCCAATTGCCACAACAATCTGTCAAACAAACAATGTTGTTCGCTTTGTCTCTAGATAGTATTTTGTATTTTCAGAAGTAAGTACAGTTTAAACTAAACAGTGGCAATTTAGACGATAAAGAATGATTGGTCACCGTATCATTACATATCTGTATTCGGTGGATAATCTCATATTGTCAGCTAATGTGAATGTTCCAGACTTCAACACAAACACATGGTCTTGTTGCAAGTTGTGGAACGGTTAACGGGGTTTTTAATTATGTTATTCCGCGGTCAGTTTGCAAATTCTAGAAATAAGTGATATCCGAAATTAACCATTGGATGATATTACTTATGTAACGCAGATTATATATGATTGGTTTGTTTTGTTATCGTTTTGTCTCCATTTTACAATCAGACATGGTGATATTGCAGTCATTAATTATTGATCGGACCACAAACATAACAATTAGTATTAACTGCGGTGTCTTCAACATGACCATATACTTTTGTATATATTTATACTGAACAAAAACTGGCTAGTGAGTACATTTTATAAAACAAAAGTACGGCATCTATACTGCATATTGGCATTGTACAAAATGAATTCTTCATTTTACATCTCTATCGCCTCGTCATACATCTCTATCGCCTCGTCATACATTTCTATCACCTCGTCATACAACTCTATCGCCTCGTCATACATCTCTATCGCCTCGTCATACATCTCAAATGGGAGATTGACTTTTGTGAATTGCTTATCTTTATCTTTGAAACATGTGGGAAATGTGTTCCTTCTGTTTATTTTGTTTGTGTATCAGAACCCAAAAGGTGATGTTGTAATTCCTATTTCTTCTCAGCTATTCTTTGTTTGATAATTTACACATTATTTAAGCAAAATTGGCCGGTTGCAGAAGCTTCAATCTTACTGATTTAACTAAAATGATAACAGACTTTTTTTTTCATTAAACAACACGGATGATTTATGTAATGCAAAATAATACCACATTAAGAGCTCAATTTCCCTTACACCTGTCCAAATCAACGATGCATTGAATATTCCAGAAGCTTTAATGAAATGCCATTTGTAAATACTGAATACAGCACAATACTCGTGTGTTGACGTCCTGATCGTATTCCTATTTTTACCTACATACAATTGTACATGGACCTGACAAGCACACCTCATTAATACGACTCGAATCAATGAACCAATACATCCTATTGCATGTACATAATCATAAAATCAAATTGGCAGTGTGGCATAGCTTATTTAAACCTAAACAACTTGCACATGGAAATAACGTAATTTAAATACTTATAGATAGTGATCGGGGAATACCTACATATATTTAGTGTGTGTCCTTGGCATTAAAGGAATGTGTGTTTTTTATACACAGCGGGGAAACAGTCGCTTCTTATATCAGTTGATATGCAGGTCAATTGAATAGTGACAATCATCAGCAATACGTTTACATAGCCAACGATGAGTTCATAACGGAAAATAAACACAGATTAGGGGTCTGATTAGTTATCTAACTGAATGAAAAATAACCAAAGATCGACTACAAGATGTTAAATGGAATAAGCTAAAGCAAATATATGTGATTCACTCTTTGTTTTGTAGTGCGCAGTCATCCTTGTTACATATTGTACGCATACACATTTCATCACAGAAATAAGTATGCATGTAGCGTACTGGAGTTTGATACACGTATCATTCAGTTCTGATGCAAACTAAATGTAGGGTACATCAAGACAGTTCACCTGTGTATTAAACAGAATATCAATTCTGTGATTCTATTTACCTTTTTT